TACATATATATATATATATATATATATATATATATATATATATATATATATATATATGTGGTAAGAACTGGTGGTGGGGATTAAGTTGAGTCAACCATATGAGAGATTTTAGAAATTATAATGCATAACTTCTACGCCTACATCAGAGCCCATGAAGGTGACCTGTCCAGAGGCGATATACGATCCACTTGTGGACACTGAAATACAGGTTACATTGTGCGTGTGTCCATGCAGGAACTCCTGCTTGCCATCTTCGATCCTCTGAAGAATGACCGAGCATCCCAGAGGGTAGATCAGGTGCTCTCGGTCCGGATGGACTCTCAGACCAGAAAACACGTGCCCTGATGAGACATGAATGTAAACGTTAGCATACCGGTCACGTGAGATAAGACGGGTAAACGCACAGGGGGGAAAAAAGTTTGCAATCGTGATGGATGGTCTATTGTTGATTTAAAAAAAGTAGATGAGCAGACAGCAATGAGAATGTGCAACCTTTTCCTGTTTGAATCCAACCAAGTAACTGTTACATATTATTTATATAGTTAGCTTAAGATAATTAGCAAAACACTTTATCATTTAGCGTCAACTTAAAGTACATTACACAATTTAGCTAGTATTAACTTAAAAACGTCAAAGATTGTTGAAACGTTTTCATGTTCACAGATTAGCATGCTTATAAATTAAGCAAGTTGCGTTCCTTAGGGTTTGAATTGTTAACCATGGTTTTGACGTTAGGTCAGTTAGCTAGTAAACGGCTAGTTAGCTAGGTTAACGTTAGCTACGTTAGATGCGTAACTAACGTTTGCAGGAAAACTTACCGTTAAACCCAATAACAGCCTCTAGTTCAAGTTGAGGCACGCCCTGCGTTGCAAGAGCCATGGCTGAAACAATGTATTATGCTGTAAAATGTTGATACGCCCAAACGTTACTAACATCAAGAAAGTCGCTTAAAAAATAACTAACTAACCTACCACTCTTTTCTCAAACCAGCCTGACAGCTCTCCAACGTTAGCTACATCAAACAAACGTTACCTAGCAACAGCTGGGATTCTATTGGCCACTGTCATTGGTGGGTCCTCGTTGCCTTCAGGTGCCCTCGGAAATGTTATAAATTACCTTGAAATGGGTGAACGTACACAAATTAAGATAAATATGTACACCACTGGTTGTTTTTTTCATTTAATCCCTGGTTAGTGATTTTAAGGGACAAATCTACAGGTTAAATAGAAATATGTTTCTACTACATGCCATATTTTTATTGGACTGATCAACTATATGTTCTGGGAACCGACATTACACTAACCACCTTAAAGGCAACGGTGGTTTTCACGATAGGCATCACAGCAACATGCAGCAGAATAGTTTGGTACACCACAACAAACGCCATACACAAAAATTATTTATGAAAACAGTTTATTGGTGACTATATTTTCTATAAAATAGCTTTTGTTTAACTTATGTTGCTCAAAGGTGAATTCACATCGTTATCAGCACAACTCAAAGTACATTTTAGATCATATGTGTGATATAAGTCCAACTGTGCAAAAAGTTTTATATTCATTTTCATTTCACACAGCTCATACCAGAGGAAAACTGTTATGAGAAGGTTTAATTTAAAAAAAATAAACAAACATTTAAAAAAAGATTTTGACAAATAAAGTTTTGTTTTTGGCATTCAAGTGTTATTGTAATATTCAAAACAATTTAAAAAAGAAAGTAAATTTTTTGGAAAATCACTGAGCTACTGGCATGGACTGAACAACACACACGTCTTGGTTAATGTTAATGAGTGTGTGTGGCTTCACTGTTTACGCGAGGTAGCAGATAACATCAGTTGGAGTTAAACACTATTGGGGAAGCAGACATTTACTCAGATTTAGTCAAGACTTCAGTCTGACATCTCCATCAATCACACAGGTGCAGAGACGTCGCCGGCATGGTTTCTAGCATCAGTTTGGCTGCATGTCAAATACGAGTTCAGGTCTTGGAGTCAGGGCAACTCTACTTTGGTTGTGACACATCTTTTGGTTTGGAATTCTTCCACACTAGCTGAAGGCAAGGACATCTGTCATAAAGGAAGATGTAAACAGAGCTTCACCACATACAGCAGTGTACATAAATAGCCACATGATCGGTCTTCACCCAATTAATTGAACACAAAAATCTAATCTGGAGGCCTGTACTGAGAGCATCTAACTCAGTGATTTTCAACCACTGTGCCGCGGCACACCAGTGTGCAGTGAGAGATCGTCAGGTGTGCTGTGGGAAATTGTCCAATTTCACTTAATGAGTCCAAAAAAATATTATTTAGTTGTTGCAAATACTTTGCCATTGTTGAGCGTCTGAGCTGCAATATAGTGGCTGGCTAAGTAATAAATACTCTTCCATGCCAGTGGATCACAGTATGATCACAGACATGTGTGAGGCAGTATAAGTCTCCACTGCTGTGTTCCCGACTGCGCATTTTGCTGATAAACTGGGCGCACTTGGCACAGAGATCACTCGGCGATTTGCCGACTTTGCAGCTCAGAAATTTAAACTTGAACTGCTCAGCAATCCGTTTGCAGTTGACATGGAAAGAGCACCTGTGGAGCTGATAGACCTCCAGTGTAATGACACTCAAGGCAAAGTATGACTCTGAGGGCGCTGCACAGTTTCCAAGCTTCACCCCCGAAACGATGCCTTAACTCCGCCTACATGCTGCTCAAATGCTCTGCATGTTTGGGAGCACATACCTGTGTGAGCAGCTGTTCTCTGTGATGAAGAGGAACACAAACCCACACAGGAGTCATCTCACTGATGCACCTTCACTCCATCGTGAGGGTTTCCACAGAACCTAACCCCAGATATTAATGAACTGGCAGCCAAAAAAAGATGCCAAACATCTGGCTCTGGCACATATGCATAAAATAATGTAGCCTACCTAAACATGTATTCTTTTTGCACTTTGTCCAATATGCCTTCTATCCTGTTTATTAAATGGTCCTCAACGTAGTCCCAATCTTTAATTTTGTCCCTCCCTGGGATTGAGTTTGACACCCCTGCAAAGGTGTCATTTTGTAACGTTTTTGGTTGTTGGTGTGCCGCGGGATCTTTTTAATGTAAAAAATGTGCCGCGGGTCAGAAAAGGTTGAAAAACACTGATCTAACTGATATTTTGTGGCAAAATAAGGCAATCGGCAGGGTGAATAGTCACAAAGCTTGAAAATGAGTTCTCAATGCACGACAGAACACCACGTGTTATCTCGACTGAGGCTCCAGGAAGATAGCTTGACGATGAAAATGTCCTCGCTTCTATTTTTCAACTGCTAGGATTCTCCGAGGGTCCTTCAAAACTTAATCTGCCTTTCGATGCGTCCATAGACATCTGTCTGTGTGTGTGCGTCCTCCGGTGTCTGCTGAGCGAATGGCTCCATGAAAACCTGCGACCGCAGGTGAGGCACAGGTACGGCCTTTCTCCCGTGTGCGTCCTCTGGTGTTTCGTCAGCGACTTGTACCGTGTGAAGGTCGCCCCGCATTCATTGCAAATGTACTTCTCGGACTTGATGTGAACATTTTGCTCGTGTTCTTTCATGTTGCCCAGCTGCGAGAAGCCCTTGCCGCACACGGGGCAAAGGTGCGGCTTCTCTCCCGAGTGGGTTAACCCGTGAATATTCAAATCCTGGCGGGAATAAAACCCCTTGGCGCAGATGACGCATTTGTATGGTCTCTCCCCCGTGTGGCTCCTCATGTGCCTTTTGAGTCCTTCAGAGCGGGAGAAGCGGCTCTCGCACAGGGTGCACCGGAAAGGTTTCTCTCCCGTGTGGGAGCGGAAGTGCCGACGGAGCTCCGAGGCCTTGAAGAAGCACATCCCGCAGTCGGCGCAGCAGTGAGCTTTCTCCGGCTGCTCCTCGTGCGTCTTCTCGTGCGCTTTGCAGTGGCCCGACTCGGAGAACCCTTTCCCGCAGACGGAGCAGGTGAAAGGCTTCTCCCCGGTGTGCATCCGCTTGTGACGGACGAGCTTGTTAAGTTTGCTGAACGTCTTCGTGCAGAACGAGCACTGATGGGGCACCTTCGGTTTCTTCGAGTGGGTGCGCTTGTGCCTCTCGAGCTTCGACGGCCTGTTGAACACCTTCCCGCAGTCGGGACAGGGGTGCTGGTTAGTCCTGCTGTGGCAGTTCTGGTGTCGGATCAGCTTCTCTTGTTGCGTGAAACTCTTCTCGCAGTGCTGACACTGATGAAGAGTCTTGGGCTTCCTCGTGTGCACAGGCCTATGCCTCTCCAGCTTTGACGGTCTGTCGAACGTCTTGCCGCAGACAGAGCAAATGTAGCTCTTGTCTGATGCGCTGCTCTGTGGCCGTCTCTCGGGCTCGGCGGCGGTTGAGTCATCATTGGAATCCGATTCCGAGATCTCCTTTATGTAGACTCCTCCGGGACCTGAGGAACAGTCGCATCAAAGAATTACCGACTAATATTACCCAAAGGACCCAAAGAAAAATGATGAAAACACAAGGAAGCATCAACGCTTACTTTCCTCTGAAGATTCTGTTTTAACGACAGACGCGGCACCCGGGCCCATGACTGCAGCCTGTTCACATGCACAGACGCAAAAACAGACACAAACAGAGGAATTGGAAACTGACATCAGTATGGTAGAGCAGGGATTCAGTGTTGGACTGTATAACATAGCTGAGCGTCACTGGATTGTTGAGGATGAAACTGATTTAAACATGTTGTAATGATATATCGTCAAATAGCACTTATTTTTCTCATGTAAACACACTCAAACATATAATATAATTTGAATGCAAATCCCTTAGATATGTTTATTTTGTATTTATAAAATGCATTATGAATAAAATCAACTTGTCAGTGCTCTATGAGGGGGACTATGTCATAGTGATATTTTCTGAATGACCACACACCTAATTTGGTAATTCAGCAATGGCTATTTCAACAAGGTCCTGGCATGGCAGGGTTCAGCTGTTTGGGTCAGGTGGTGGTTTACTACCATTGACATGTAGCTCTGCTAGCTGACAACCAGAAATGAATGTGGTATGCTGGGTGATGAGGACCCCCACAGAGGAGAACGTGAAGCATAACAATCCAGCTGTTGTCTCGTATGGCGTGTTAATGTTACTTATGATAAACCTCTCGAAGATTACACCAGGTGTTGAGAGACGCGTCTCCGTCTTTACCCCATCATCTCTGAAGCAGGGTTAAGATATCACAAAGGCCCCTTGTTGACTGTTTTTATTGCACCATCGCCTGACGAGATAGACTATATTTATATGCCATTAATCTACCGACTAGCTATGTGACTTAGCTGTTCACAATTGTGACTTTTGAGGGATCACGCTGCAATGACAAAACGGACGACACGCGAGAGAGCGTTACAGAATGCGCCTCAAATTGGACAGTAAACAGTGTTGATTCAGAAAAAAACACATCTGGATATGATGGATGTGTAAAAATGCAGTAAACATGTTTTTGTATTGCGTTTAGCATGACCAAGTGTCTTTACAGAGACACCCTCCCCCGACTGTTGTGTTAGCGCAAACTATTGTGTTGCTTTAGTGGCTGTAAAAAAGAGTTTGGATGATTGTTTATCTGGGACACACATGCACACAACAAGTCAACGTTAGCTATCGGCTAACTTAGCAGAAGCTAACGTTGGCTAGCATAGCAAAGACGTACACGGTCGAGCAGGGCATAAAATATTGAGTCCCACCTCTTTCATAATCCTTAAAACCGAAGGTCAGTCACATCTTTTCTCTGCAGCGTTTTAAATTGAACCTTCTTGACATTTCACGATAACTACTTCGCTACTGCGGTCTGGCTAGCAAACAACTCGGATCTCCGTGGTCAATTCAGCCGTCACTGAAAATTTTAGTGCACCTATATACTGACATTCGTGGTAAACTCCTTCAAACGACCCAGATCGGGAGCGAGCGAGGGGCTGTTCGAAGTTAGCGGAGGGATCGACGTGAGATAACTTCCGGTTTTCAAAATATGTCAACAATACGTATACAAACTGCATATACGGAAATAATATTAATTGAATTACATTCACATTAAGTATAAAACATGTTACCTGTATCTTATGAGTTAAATGAAAAATACAACTGAATTGTGTGTGTATTTATTCTTTGATTTGAGGGTTGCTGAAAGATAATCAAAGGAATAATAGCTACGCTTTGTTGACATCTTATTTGGAAAACCGGAAATAGTCTAACGTGGATCCTCCGCTAACTTCGCAAAGTCCCTCGCTCACTCCCTTTGAACGGTTTTACCATGAATGTCAGTATATAGGTGCACTACAATTTCCGTGTCTTCTGTCTTGACCGCAGTCTAATTGCTGCAGTTTGCCGAACAAGTTATAGCATATAAATGTTGATTCCCGTTGTCCGATCCTTACACGATACCTTCATATGCCACACGTAAATTCGGAATTTAAATGGTTGTTGTCGATTAATATTTTATTGTACTGCTCATGCGCCGCGTAGGTGACCTGCATTGTGCTGTGGTATCTGAATGATGAGACAATAGTACACAATATGTACAGCTTAACGTTTTATTTTAAAGAAAAATGTGTCAACTGAGGTAAAGCAAGTTACAGTAGACGCATCCAAACCTTACGCTGATTTAACAATGGCATACAAACCAACCGGGTATGTTGGCTGTTGACATCGTTTTTATTATCCGCTCAAAATGTGTTTTTGTCTTTTATCACAAAAACAAACAATCGAGCAACCAAACAAACAAACAAGAATACATTTTCACACTTTCAGATCAGCTTCAGATGCATCCTTACCACTTACGATAGTTTCACAAGCACACGAACGCAGCACATGTCTCATAAACAAGGTGTGCATAAAGGATATCAAAACCCTTCACGTCATTTTAACAGCAAATAAACAGACATGCCCTCGTATACACACGTCACAGGCCTACACCCCTTATTAGTAATAGCCTCCATATGTTGACAACTCAGAACTTAGAAAGGTTAAACAGAAAGTAAAAATATTTTTTTTTCAGTATTACACAGTAAAAAAATATATAATGTTCACAACAGGTCTATATCAGAATAAGTCATTAGACATAGGGAAAACACGAGCCACTGATCACAACATGTGAAAAAGAGCATGAAGTTAAATTGCGTATCAAATGCAAATAAACTGCAAAATACAAAAACATGTGGAATTATATGCATCCGGGTAAAGTACTCTCTTTTTTTGTGCAACAGATAGGATTCATTACAGCAGATGTTGTTGCATGCAATAGCTCTAGCTGGCGTGTCTCAACCCTTCCCTCTGTGATAAGATGAGAAGTTGTTTTTTTTTCGTGTGGAGATTTTCCTTATGTTTTAAGAGAGCTTCTCTGTGAGAGGAACCATTGTTTATGTGGGCTTGTGTAGAACCGTGAGACGAAATGTGCAATATAAGGCTCTACAAATAAACTTGACTTGACATGTGGACATCAAAGTCAAGTAAAATCTCCCTCAATTGCTTTGTAATATGTCATGTGCACACATCTGCATTTCACAAAATAAATATCTGAACATTTAAATAAAAATCAAGTCCAATGAAACAGCATTGTGGAAAAAAAATGTGTTTAGACAACAAATATGCAAAGTTTCACGGCTTCTCTCTCTCTCTCTCTGCCCGTTAGTCTACTGAGAGGGAAAGCTGTGAGAAAAGGAAATAGAGTTCTGGATGCCCCACACTTCCAGGGCCTGGATCTTGAAATGTCCCTTGCAGAGTTGGTTGCTCTTGAATGTGTCACAAGGCTCTGAGAGCCCCCCCTCTAGGTCTTCCTGTAGGCAGAGTGCGTGGCCTCCATCACCACCTAAGAAAGCACAGACATCAGCACCGCATACACACACTGTTAACTAGAACTTTTTATAATGAATAAATGAGACCTAACAATATGTTCAAGACCTAACAATATGTTCCACTGGCGTACCGATTATGAGCTGACTGTCACTGCCTGCGATGAACATGGAGGCTTCCTGTTCCTTGGATCTCCTCGGCTCTTTGGCTGTCGTGGGCTCCTCTGATGGGGCGGTGAAGGGGATCGTCAGGTAGCTGGGGTCCTGGGGGGTTCCGGCGGGACAGGTCAGAGTCGGGGTGGCGATGGGGGAGCAGCCACCGTTGGACACCGGAGAGGAGGCCAAGCTGCCGTCTCGAGCCTGCTGAGGGGAAGCTGCTCTGGTCATTATGTTGACCATAGCCTGCTGGTAGCACTCCATGTTGGGACGCAGCTGAGGGAGAGAGCACACTTTATTTATTGAAGGATAATATAGAAAGGTGACCGACTTGAAGCATGTCGCAGCAAACCCTGTGATGTGACGAGTTGAACTGAAGAAGAAGAAGAAGAAAGCAGGAATATGTCTCACCGTAAAAACAAAACATTCCCCGGTTCCAAAATACGCGAGTCCCTGAGAGTCGTGCTTTTTCCTTTCTATCACATCTGTTGACAGGAACGCACCAAAGACCTGAGAAATGAGAATTATTTCAGCACAAAATGTATTCCATAATTATGATCAGTAGACATTGGGTTCAAATCTATTAAATAAAAAAGAAAAGCATATATAGCTAAATATTCCAATATTCATTTTCCAATGTTACCTCTTCACACACAGTTTTGATAATCAAGACCGCTGGTTCGTGTCCCTCCACATGTGAATAGAATCTACATGAGAGAGAGAAAACACAGGATTTATTGTTGTTTTTAATATCCATGTCCTTATACTTTTTAACAGACTGTTCAGAACTAGTTATTTCAACTTAAGGTATTTTTTGGTAAACAGCGTGAGCTGAACTGTGAGTGGCTTGACTTTTACACTCAAAGCAAACATGTTGATAGTGAAAACACGCGGCACCGTTCTGTTAACTAGACCTGAGAATCTGCTTTCCACTGCTGGCACATAGTGTTCAGCAGTTATTGATCCATGATGCCCTGGCCCTCATTTAAAGGGACAGTTCACCCCAGAGTCAAAAAACACATATTCAACGCCGATATCTCCAAAACTAGGCAACTCACACCAAAACAATCTGGACTGATAAATACTACTACAGGTGAGAGGAAAGATATATACTTTCAATTTTGGGGTGAACTGTCCCTTTAATAGTGCAAGTATGAGGAGACAGAATGAGATGTTTTTTCTCGATGGCGTGTCAAACGAAGGTGGCTTACGAAGCGAGGCTTCTTCCGTGTTCCGCCGTGCTAAACAGCCGGATGGGGCTGAAAAGGGAGAAGCGCTCAGGTATCCAGGCCCAGACGACTCTCATCTCGGTCCCAGTCACGACACTGGAGGCGAAGTTGCTGAAGTTCACCGTCTCGACCGACTGCCTTTAGGAAATTGAAATAAGATAAATGTGAGCTTTTGTTTTTCAGCAATTACCCATCATGAAAAGTCCTTATACTTATTATAAGCAGATCCCTTTCCTGTTATTTCTGCCGACAAATAAGCCTCTCACGGACTGTTCTATACCAAACTTCTGCGCTGACCCACCTCTTTTGGTGCGTGCCGACACCTTTTTGCATGAGGGCGTCCTTGTTGGCGTTGAACAGGAGGTTGAGCTCCCTCCGCGTGGCCATCGAGATCATGAAGGCCCTCTCCAGAAGATTCTCAGCCGTGCAGTGGCGAGCCACGCTCTGCACGAACCTCTTCATGTCTGTGCGGAAGTCCTCCACGTCTGCCACTCTGGATGACACGGATACCTTGTAGAGGCTGAGCAAAGCCAACGCCACCCTACGCAAGAAACGACACGGTTACGGTGTCGCTCCGGAAGTAACGGCCATGCCGTGAGAAACCACACACTCAGATTTTTGTTTCCGCGTGAGGCAGCAACAAACCTGTAGAGGACCTTGTAGCCCTCCAAGATGTAGACATCCAGCACTCTGATGGCGTATGTGAAGGGAAGGTCGGCGAATATCCACATGATCCAGTCGGAGTAGAACTCAAAGAGGTTCTGGTGAGAGCTGGCGATCAGCTTGCGGATGCCCCTGCAGCACCTGTTGGCGAGGTCCCCGAAGGTCATGCAGGAGGCGCGGTAGGTGAGGAAGGTCTGGTCGATGTAGCGCTTGTTGGGGTCGTCGTAGCAGATGAGCCGGGACACGCTGTGGAAACACTCGGCCTCGTCCTCGCTGAAGTGGAGGAGGAGGGAGACCAGTTCGGGCAGGATGGGGCAGAAGTTCATGTCCGGGAAGCATTTGCCGAGGCAAATGAGGATCTTTTTCACGGAGTTCAGGCCTGCTTTGTTGAGACAGTATCTGGATAAGAGAGGACGGAGAAGACGATTCACTTGGGGAGACTTTCATTTAAAAGCACTCATGATAATTCAACATTTAAAGCATAACATCTCGCATCAGATCTTTTTTTTCTTTTTAAATCCAACAAAGGTCACTCAAAATTAACCAAATTAACTGACATGTTTAAAGCTACTACAATGAACTTCCATTTTGTGTTGATTTTGGCGGTCTGCGTGGATGAAAGTGGTAGTGTTACTGAGTCCCTTTAGAAAACCAATACAACTAATTTCACTGCAGCAGGTTTTGACAGGTTTTGACCAAAGCTCAGTTCTGGTTCTGGTTCTCCCGTGCCTCTCTTCCCTCCAGCGGGCCCAGCAATACGGCCTGGGTCTCCAGCAGCGTGGTGTCGGCGTCGGCTCCCATGCGGGGACCGGAGGAGCAGAGAGGAGAAGCTCTGCTCCTGGAGGAGGAGGAGACGCTGCCGCCGGGGCGGTGAGCTCTCCTCCTCCCACCGGAGCACCCGATTGCAGGTCGAAGGCGAAGCCAGATCCGGGTCTGTCTGTGGCGGGCTGGTCGCTGCCTGGAGACCCCGAAGGTATCTGAGCTGAAGGAGTTCCTGGTGAATCTGCATGATTTAATCTGAGTGCCTTGCAGTAACTTTAAACATGATGAGGGCACTTTACAGGTTTGTTCTCTTGCTAGTTTAATCTTCATACGTTTTTTTTAACTACAGTCTACATGTTTTTATATCGCACCATGTCTATGACACATGACCCAACATTATCCCACCAAAGTACCTGGGTATTTCTCCTGCCTCCATGTACTCTGGGACCGCATGGGTGCTGATTTTCTGTTCTCCAAAGTGTTGCTTGGCCACTTCATAGTGGACATTTCTGTCTGGAGTGATGCACCTGCTGCAGATTCAACATCAATTGCATTTGGATTTAGAAAGGAAAAAGCACCCACCGACTTTGCAAAAAGTCTCATCAATCAATGCACCGTGTGCTTCATGACATCATTTATAAAAATTCAATGAGACAATCTTAACCTTGAGTTGATGCTGTGGATGATGTGGTAGTAAGCTTTGGCCCTCAGCGTGTGCGGCGTGGCCCAGAATCCCTCTCGGCCCATGGTTTTCAGCTGCTGGTGGTCACTCTGCAGGATCTGCTGGTACCGTTCCGCAGCTTCGGGGTCGATCTTCTCCCAGTCCACAAACTGCCCATACTTCATCCCCGAGCAGGAGTTAATCTCCCAGTTGTCCGACTCAGAGATGGTCATCATGGACACTGGCTTGAGATTGCCTTTACTGCCTGAGCAAAGTATGCACATACACTCAGTTTTATTTTTGGCAAATAGACTTTGGGAGAGGAACACATGCGATTATGAAAAATAGCATAATTTCAGTACCATTATGTTCTCTTGTTTGTGAATGCTTGCTTCGTTTGGACTTGGACTTCTTAGAGCTGACTGGAACACCGGGCCCATCCCCTTCTCTCTTTTCCTTTTTGTTCACTTGATACTGGATTAGGGAGCTCGCCCTCTCCCTCAGCGGACTGGACTGTGAGAAGTTCCCCGCGTCGTAATCGGAGGTCTCACAGCTGTAAAAGGACCTGGAGAGCAGTAGAATCAGCATTAACTATGTGCTCAGTAATAAGCCCCTTTTTTTTCTTGTGTTTTCCCACAACAATAAAAGCCAAAACCCACATCAATTAAAAGTAAGACACGTGACTGTTGAATGATGAGAAAAAAAACAGCACATGTGAAAACGTACCTGGAGCGAGGCCTCAGATAGGTCTCCTCTGTCTGCGTCTGCACGCCGTAGTTCTTGCTTTCCTCCGAACTGTAGTAGGAGTGAGACCTTTGCCGGCCTCTGCCCTCTGCCACGGAGCCCAGGTCCTGGTTGGACGACGCGCACATTGTGATGGAATTCATGTCGCCACAGTCGGAGAACTCCGCCGTTCTTGAAACGTCGATCATCGTCTCAAGTCTTGTCGCTCCACGTGCTGCGATCTGGAGAGTTAAAAGTGTCACTAAGCTGCTCGTTCTGAGGGCCGGGGCGTTATATAGGCCTGTGGGCCTGCGGTCACGTGAGACAGGTATGGTGGTAGGGTTTGTTTGTGGTGACTCCAGCCGTTGACAAAAAAAACAAACAGTTGAGCTGACTTTCCTGTTTTAACATTGGCAACGTGCAGTGTCTCATTCTGAGAAGTAATTAGTCCAACTGGAATGTATCCTCGGTGCCACTAAAATCAGAAGCATGATATAAGGAATAAAAACATCCAGATCACATGACATAACACACTTTACATCCACTCGCACCTCAAGAGATCTTTCATCGCTGTTGCAGTTATTACAGACGAGCTTTTAATATTATCTGCTTATAGGGAAACCTGTCGAAGAATTCAATATTCATAACAAGGTCATCAGAAACAGGAGTGTAATCATGTTCTTTTCTCCGAAACCGCCTGCAGAGAAATGTCAAATGATTCTATTCCAAGAAGTCCTCCAAAGGTTATTATTCGACACAACAGATGTGTGTTTTGATCAAAACACAACTACTGTTTGGTCATGAAACATAAAACCTCGACAAGCACTTATCTCATATGTGGGCGCCGCATGTAACCGAGTTGAAAAACAAACTCTAGGGATGTCGTTGGTCCTTCATGTTAATTTCCATGAAGGGCTGGCATACTATCAAGTCATGCTTGTACAGTTTGGGGGCAATGTAAGTAAATGAAAGCAGTTACAACACAGATATCATTCAGCCTGCATACTATTCAGTCTGTGACCTATATTGTGACAAGGAGCGTACCGTTTACATCTCTTTAGGTCCATACAAACATTGTACAGAATTCACAAGGAGGGGAGGGTGTTGCTGGGGGGGGGGGGGAGGTTGTATTTGGGTACCAGCACTCATGTGTGTCAGCACAAGAAATGTGTCAAACTACACGGGGAGGAGAAAATAAGGGGATGGTTTTATTGTGCAACACAGAAAACGGTGTAAAAAGCAAAAATCCACTTGTCATAACCAGGTTAATAATAAACAGTTGGTCTCTCAGCATTTAATTCATTTGTGGGAAGAAAACTAAATGCAATTCTTTCTTTTTTTCTGAAGATTATTATTTAAGCTATAAGATATCGTTTCAGTAAAAACTCAATTGCAGTTGAGGTGCATAACAGGAATCACAAATAACGTAATTTAGTCACCGACGCAAACTAGAGGCGAGAGGGGCATCTCGTCACACTTTTTGCTTTCACTTCAATTTCTCGGTCTAGTACATTGCAGTCAGTCATTTTTCCTATTAAACTAAATAATACATCCTGAGGTCCACTTGTATGATCATAAGATTTCTCAGTCAATATGGAGTTATAAATGGGAAAGCACAGGAAGTGCATTTGTGACAAGTTGATGTTGAAGTTCGATGTACGCGAAAGGTTTTTTCTCTGCAATAATAACTTGATTCGATCGCCACCCTGAATGCTCTTTTTGATGGTTTCTAGGCCTTCAACCACAAGGCTGAATGGATTGCTGTTATGCACTTTTCAGAATTTCCTATAGGCCACAGGGTAATCCAAATGTGCTTTTCTGATTGCATACTGTCCAGGACGATTACACAAACAAAGCCCATTCTTTCTCTAGATCTAACCTCTTCAAGCTGGAGCCTCTTTAAAAGAGACACGTATTCATAGAGATCAGTTTCAAGATGGCCCCTTCAATATGGGACAGGTTAGGCCCTCTCGACCCTTTGTCTTGATACCTGCAATATGAGTGAGAACAAAGCTACCAGAGCTTCCAACTCTTCGGATTTGATTTCATGGTGGACGAGAGCTTCAAAGTGTGGCTCATTGAGATCAATGGCGCTCCGGCCTGTGCGCAGTCAGTACCATTCAGCTGATCATTTGTGTTCAAAATGTTTCTTTCACTTTTTTTCCCCCCGTCCAGGAATCTTACAGCCTTGTTCTCTGTCTCCTATTCACATCTATACCTGCAGTCTGCATTTAGACTTCTCTTGGCCTGCATTTACAATATGGAGAAAACAAGCTTTGTGTGTATGTTTGTTGTTTTTCTTCCTTGGAGGGTCAGAGTCAGAGATAGGAAAGCTTTGAAAGCATTATCATCGTTTCAAAGATAAACAGTAGAATTTTGCTCCTTACTTAACTTTTATTTACCTCCATCTTCACCACCAACTCCTGCTCCTCCCCCAAACTGAGAGGGCCTCTCCACGTGGGCCCTTTCACTCGACTGTAAGCACACGCGAATCCTCCCCCTTCGTCTCCTCCGTACGGCTTCTTCACGCTCCGTCCTCACTCCTGAACTCTACCTGAGAAGTAGCACATGCCGGCGAGCATGGAGAGGGAAGTCACCGAGCTGCAGAGAGGATGTGATTTTTAATTTAAGCAGCAATAACAATCGACAGGATATAATATTCATTTTTTTTATCCAGAGCAAATTGAGTATTTTTAGGTATACAATCAAAATGTCCCGACAGCTCTGGTGGAGATGGACTCATCCTGAGGACGGCTGCTGTCTTCCAGATGTTTTTACGGTCAGGTCACTACCGTTAGATCCTCACTGATCTTGATGAGAGATTTAATAATGAATGAAGGCCTAATTAATGAAGTTTACGAGGCTGTGCCACGTGCGTAAAATGCGCAGAACGCCTCTTTCAATGTGGAGACACATCGATCCTGCTGCTGTGTGATGACGAGTATTTAATAAACTAAAAGGAAAGAATACTAAATACAAACAAACGGCGTGAACATACACATTAGTGTGAAGATAACACTGATTATAAAAAAGGTTGTGGTATGCAGATAGCACAGTATTGATCGAGATCCAGGAGGTGGCAGCAACGTGGTGCTGCCACGTAATTGATGCCGTAAAACCCCAAAGACGAAGAAGAAGCTTCTTGCTCCCCCTGAAGAAGACACATGTGGAAACGTAAATAAATAGAGATTGATGAAGTGAACAGGTGTGTGTGTGCTGTCCTCCTCCTTCAGCCAGAGAAGAGTTCCAGCAGCAGCACAAGTTTGATGAGATCGAGTTGTTTCTTTGTTTGAAATGCATAAGGCTTCATAAAACTCTTAAGGGTTATAAAGAATAAAACATTGTGGAAATAATATTTTATAAGTTCGGCGTTCATGATGCTTTATACCTCCATGTCAAAGTGACAACGACGTCTGTCTGTGTGTGTTTCTTTCCTTCTGCTTATCTTTCTCTCTGCCTTGGTGTCAACAAATTCTGAATATAATGGTTTATGGGCAGATGGGAGTTTGTCAGTGTTGGGGAAGTTGTTGAGAATGACTATAATCACAATAATACTGTTAATATTCGTAGTAATAATGAGAACACATCAAAAATAAAGATATGAGTCTTGTGTTACACAGCACATTATAACTACCATAACTTTATTCAGTTATTCAGACACAGAACTGCTCCAACGTGTCAAAACAGATTATAATTTCTACGTTTTTGAAATGGAATAATGTGTTACAAACATCAATAACACGTGATAGCATAACTGTATGAGTTTCAAGTGAAGTGACAGCACTGTGAGTTATTAGCTATTGTCCAGCGGCCCGTCCTAAACCTGCTGAGACTCTTCCAAAGCCTCGGGCCACCATCCTGCCTGCAGACCTGCCGGTTGCCTCCAGCATGGCCCCCGGCCCTCCTCGACTCCACTGCACCACGACGGCCCTCTGATCCACAACCGCTCTGACGAAGAGTACCAGCAACTCCACGACCAAGTTGTGGACAATATGCTGAGGTGTGTTGTGTCAAAAATCTATCTGATGATTATCACATTTTCTAATCACTTTAGTTTTTCACTCAATTTATTCCATGTATAAACTTTTTAATCTCATGTTTTCCTCTCCTCACAGGTTCAAGAACGGCCGTCTGCGTCCGCACACCTTAAATCTGGGACGTCGCATCAAACAGAAGCTCTGGAAGAGACTGGACATTCCCACATTAAAAGAGACAGTAGACAAAGACGGACGGGTGCACGTGGACATCCCATACGGGGGTCGGTGTTCATCCGCCACATTATTTTGTGGACACTTCGGAAGAACCAGAGATCTAAGACCAGGCAGGTGCCGCCTCCGCCTTCAGATTCCGGCCGACAGCTTAGTTCAAACCTCCAACTTCAACCTCCGTCCCACATTAACAGACAGTAGACAAAGACGGACGGGTGCACGTGGACATGTCACACGGGGTCGGTGTTCATCCTCCACATTATTCTGCGGACACTTCGGAAGAACCAAAGATCGAAGACCAAATAAGATCATAACTGTAAATATTATTGTAGTAAATGTTTAAATGTAATAGTTTAAGTAATCTTCTTCAAAGCTGAAGAATCCTCTTTTTGTTTGAGTCTGTGAATGCAGCCTTTGTCAACAATGTTTTTATTCAGCTTCAGCCTCAAAAGTTCCTGAAATAATCTTCCAGAACACAAACAGCCTCTGAAAACCAGCTAAAGCACCTTCCTCCACCCTCAACCTCCACCATCAGCCGAAAAAACAAACCATCTTAACCTGCTGCCTCCGAAACGACTAACCCACCTCCACCTACAGCCTCTGCCAGCAACCTGCAGGTGCCGCCTCTGCCTGCAGATTCCGGCCAACAGCTTAGGTCAAACCTCCACCTACAGCAGGGGTGGGCAATTATTTTTCCCAAGGGGCCACATGAGAAACAGGGACTGTTGTGGAGGGCCGGACCAATAGACTGAACTCAATCCTGCTCAATGTTATTCCACCTCTTTATAAAAAGCAGTACATTGTATGGTTTTGATGAGCTGTGAGTGGTGAGAGTACATGTTATGATCAGTGGTGGAATGTAACTAGTATATTTGCTTAAGTACTGTACTTAAGGAAAGTACCTTGAATTTGTACATAAGTATTTCTATTTTATTCAACTTTGTACTTCCAGTCCACTACATCTCAGAGAGAAATAGTACTTTTTACTCCACTACATTTGTCTGCCAGCTTTAGTTACTAGTTACTTTGCACATTATAATTTTTCAAACCTTTCCAAACTACACAAACTGAACAACAGAGTATAAAATGAATTAAAATGAGCTCCACCGTAAACATCTGCAGCAGGAATAATCCAAACATATACATTTGTAATATCCATATATACCAGTAAAACACTGACGGGGGATCATGTTTTTGCAAAATGTTGGGAGCATTATCCACACTGCACGTGAAGGGAGAAGAAATCATGTGCATTTCACTCTCAACTGTTTTAAAGTCTTGAAATCGCCTTGAAAACTCACCATGCAGTGCCCCTAACATGGATGAGTACCTGTGGAGATGCTCAACTGATGGTGTGGCTTCTTTCAGGGTTTGCAGGAGGGTGAGAGCGTTCCCTGCATCTGGCTTGAAAGAAACTGCAACTTTGTCATGAAAGCCTTCACCAGGCTGTACATGTGATGTGCAGAGAGGCCCTTGCCTTGCAGTTTGGTATTCAGATCATTCATTAGTGCAGTCACATCAACAGCTAAATGCAAAATCTGTCATCCAGTTTACATCGAGAGCTCTGGGATGTCCTTGCCTTTCTTCTCACAAAACGCTTGAATCTCTGCTCTCAGGTCCCGAACTCTTTGAAGCACTTTGCCCAGACTGAGCCACCTGACAGCTGTGTTCGGTCTCATGCTCCTCCAAGAGTGCAACAAACTGTCTGTGCTTCAATGCTCTTGCCCTGATGACGTTAACTATTTTAGTTACAACATCATTAACATGGTTACGTTTGAGCACATTCTGATGTATAATGTAATGCAAAAATACACATTTCAGTGCTGGGTTTATTTCAGTCACTTTATCTTGCATCCGCTTTAGAAGTCCGACATTTCTCCCCGTCAGATTTGGACAACCATCGGTTGTGACACGTGCCAGTTTGTCCCATTTCAGTCCCAGCTTGTGGAAGCATGCATTTACCTCCGTGAACAAATCACTCCCCGTCGTCCCTTTCTTTGACTGCATTGCTGCCAGCTACTCTGTAATCTCGAAGTCTTTCGTTAGCCCACGTACAAAGATGAGTAACTGGTCTGCTTTTTTTTTCCCGCGATGTCCCCGATCCTCCTCGTGACGGTGCGCCTGGAGTCCATTTTGTCGGATATCACAAAGCTGGTCTTGGCTGCTGCATCCCTGGATGTGTGAAGCTTGGTAAAAAAGGCCTTGTTGCTTTTGCAGTTTAGCTAGCAAAGCCTCAGACGTCCGTTCCCGCTCTGCATCCGTCAATCTTTCGTATTTCTCCGTGCGTTTCCTCTCGTAATGACGATTCAAATCGTAATTCTTCAACACTGCCACTTGTTCTCCACAAACTAAGCACACGGCTTTACCTTTGACTTCAGTAAAGAAATACTTTAAAGTCCATGTTTTGTTTAGAAACTCTACACTCTGTGTCAATCTTTCTTTTTTTAACACAGGCTGGCATTTTTGAGGGCTAACAGCTAACTCACATCTCCGTAAACTCAGTTCAGCAACACATTGCAGTGACGCTGCTGCTCACACACACATTCACTAACGTAGTTAAATTGAGAAGAAAAAAAACAACAAAACTCGCCTTCAAAATAAAAGCAATGCAGCTCTATTATATGCATGATGTACACTTATTTACGTTTTATTCCTAATTCCCCAATGACCTCCCGCGGGCCGAACGGAAACAGCTCGCGGGCTGTACAATGCCCAGGTCTGGGTTTGGGCCTTGCCATCTCCCTGCCACTAATCACACAAAAGACTGTCTTTCGTTTTGTTTTCTGTACATTTATGTTTTCTTAATTTGTTTTCATCATTTCCCTTCGAGACATCATAGAGCATCATGTGGTTATACTTTGCATGTGATTATTTCTTGCTCAGGTGTTTAAACAGGAGTCCAATCTAATAAATGATTATTAATAACAGCTAGTATGTTGATTTATCCCGACAAATATGAATCTTCAATGATGGTCTCTTGTGTTGGCAGTCTGTTTGCCCAGAATAAAAACTACCAGTTTACAGATCAACTCTGTAATATACAATTTTATATAGAGAAACAAAAACACTATTTTAGAAAATCAAAACTGGTCAAAGAATGTAATGGAAGAGGTTTAAAAACACTTGGCTTTTAATCAGTTATACGATCATTAAAAATGTATTGTATAAAAGCCTCTATGTAACAAACTTTCCAGAAACATTAAAAAAAGAGATTGTAGCGTTAGAAGTTTTGTTAAAATGTGATTTTGAAATAAAAAATTGGCTTTTGAAGTTTTTTTGAATTTCATCGACTAATACTGTTATTGGAGGATGATAGTTATAGTTACCCATGGTTTCACTCCACCTTGTGGAACAACAGAACAATTACAATCAATAGGGAAACCTCAACCAGTCAAAATTGGCATGAAGAAAATACAATTATTTTTGTCAGTGAACTCATGGACAATCGTGGCTTCTTCTCACAAAATCTCAAAAGTTGATTAGGTATTATAATAATAAAATGATATTTAGGATCTACATCACATTCATCCATGTAAATGGAAAAATCGGAAACACTTGCTCACCCTTGGTTTAAAAAAATCTCAATATTCGACCAATATTAGCTTCTACACACCAGCTAATACAAATAAGTCATACTACGTTAGGATTTCTGATGTTTTTTATGTGCATTATTGATGGGTCTCAGAATTGGCTATACATGATGTGTGATTTGCTATGTTTGGGATTGTACATATATTTAAGGATTTATACATTGATTGGTGAAATGTGATGATGATATAAGTAAGTATATTTATTTATTTTATGTACATTTATTATCTTTATTTATTGTCAATATGGCCCTGCTGTTTTACATCTTTCCATATTGCTCGATATCGTCCATTTGTAAAATACTGATTTGCTCTAAATAAAGTTTTTTGTTTTTTTTAAAGATTGTTCCTCGCATCGTGCCGTCGTGACGTCACACCCAAACAAGAGACAGATTGCTGTGGATTACTGCCTGGTGGTGCAAACTAACTGGATTTTCTCTTCATAGCTAACATTGATCGTAATGTCTCAGGACCCGTGGTAAGCAATGTGTTCTCAGGCTACCATAAATGATCTCAACCGTATTATTAACTACAGCACATGGTGTTACTAACGTTAATAACTTGGCTACTCTTTCTCTTATCCTCTGCTAGCTAAAGTGGTAGCTAGCTAGCTAGCTAGCTCTTCCCTGTTGAGACGAACGTTGAACAAATACAATACTTGCACTTTAATAAGCCATTTAGATGATCTCTGTAAGTTGTAAAACGTAACGTTAGTATAGCGGTCACCGATAAGACTCATGACATTCGTGTTATTTAAGCGATATACTTGTATTTACTTTTCAGACTGAAGCCTGGTAACGTCAACAGAATCAGGAAAGAGGAAAAAGTCACATGATGAATGCAGCTATGTTTTGGGCTTATTCTCTGACGTTTTACCCAATAATACAAAACTGTAATGACAAAAATGTACATTAGCATTAGCGCTGTATTGAATAATGCAGTCAGTGGTGTTTCATCCTTTTCCGACACTCAGTGGTAAGATATATTTACAACATTCAAAAAGTCCAGCATCAAAAACGACTAACGAGTTACATGAAGCAGTCTGAGCTCTGATCATTATAAGCTAGATAGCAAAACTAGCTAATATTTACTGCACGTTAGTGTGTTCCTGAAATACATGTTTTGTAGGTTGCACATTAGGAAACAGACAAGTCAATTGTCTTCACCCTGTACAAATCCAATGCTCAGTGAGTGACCGTTTAGTTTTGTACATCACACTTTAACCACATCACTTATGTGGCTCCTTAATGTATCTGTGCCAACTGTTTGTCACGAGGCAGTAATTCAATTTACACGTTTTCCTCAATTTTTAATGTGCAGATGTCGACCATATTATCTGCCATGAGAATTGTTTTTGTTACTGTTGTTTACATTCCTTATGATGCAATTAATAAAATAAAAATGCACTACAGGAATGTGCTACTGTTTTGTTATGTTTGTCATGTGTATTTTGTTTTGTGCTACATCTGAATTTCGTTGTGGATCCCTGTGTTGCATCATGACAATAAATTAACCCTGAATGACATCTCTATCCCGTTCACTGATCTGCAGGTTACAGAACTATGACGCCACCTGTCGCTTGGCACAGGAAACAGCAGAAAACATTCATGAGCGCAACAGGCAGCAGAGAACAGGGGGGAACCCTGCAAAGGTAAGGTGTGACCTTCACAAAGTGCCGTCACCTACACATTTCTCTGGTAGCCAGTCGGTGTGAACATCTGTCTTTTCAGATCAACATGACGCTGCGGGCATCACTCCAGAAGCTCAAACAGAATATTTCCCAGCTTAGAGAGGGTTTGTTGCGAGCATCATCCAGTCGGCGCTTGTATCCTTTCTTCTGAGAACGTTCCGAGTGTTGGAAGTCATGCGGTTGAGATTACATATTGTGCTGCAGGCTCCCCCCTTGCTTGTAGTAGCAGTTGTCTTCCTATAGAGGGCGTTAGAGTGCTATGAAAAGGTCTGCCCTAACTTCTCAAATAGAACGGTGTCTGTTGTTCATGGGTTCATTCCAAACTGGCCCAAAGAAACGTGCCAGGAGCATCCAAGGTGGTTTAAGGGATGATGACCTTTAACACGGCTCCATCAGAATGCAGCCAGAAGCCGATAGGAGGCAGAACCTCATCGACGACCTGCTAACCAGAGAGAAGCAGCTCAATGCCACCTTCAAGGGAGACTTCATGGAGCCTGAATCTTCAAGGTATTTAATATTCAAGTAGATTATGCTGTCCTAAATGAGAGGGAAAGTTGGTACATCTCACTAAGCATTCTCTACTGTTATGAGTGGGTCACACAAGGACTACATTTAGTAGGACTACAAAAATGATCTCTGTCCACACGGTTTTAGAAATTATTTCCGTTCATTCTATCACACCTGAAAATTAATATCACGTGACTTTTCACGTACACTGGGCAAGCTTTAATAATGAAAGGTCATGCTTGATACCGAAGATCTTCTTCTATATTTCCCAAACACGCCCTCAAACAGACAAATTTAGTGGAAAGTTTAGTTGCAAGGCTGCGGGTCTCACTCACTCACTCACTCACTCACTCACTCACTCACTCACACATATCACATTTAATTCAATAAATCAAAATTTACTAGATTATGGGTCAATAAATTTGGTCAACACACGTCTGTCTCTCGTTCCCTCTCGGTTTCCTTGTTGTCTGTTGGCTGGAAGTCCCTGTCACACTGGAGAGCATTTATGCTTTTGTTCGTTTACAGTTTCTTCCTGAACTTCACAATAATTGTGCCCCAAAAAAAAAAAAAGCATTGATAACGAAAGAAAAATCCTCCGTTTTGTGTCCGTCGCCCTCCTCAAAGCCGCCAACAGGGACTTTTAAAACATCCGCTCCTTAGAGCTTATAATGCCGCCGGACACGCCAACTTCTTGTGCTTCTTCCGCATGTAGGCAGTAGTAGAATAATGAAATGCAGAATTTATTTGCACAACAGCTGCTAATATAGACGACAAGGTCAGCAACGCCTGTCGTCATCCGTTATCCATGATGAATCGACCACTGGCAGTGGATCGGTAATCAAGGCTGAATCAGGGAAGGACACATCTTGACTGCTAAGACCCAATCAAGTAGCCAACGCAAATGTCTAGTTCATCGTTTTCAATGGTCCCCGGTTCTGCCCGTCCACATTACAACCCCTTAGTTTCCAAACTAAAACGGTGTCGGCAGCGTTTTCAAACATCTCAGTTTAAGGGGTTCTACAACACCGAAGTAGTGTGGACGCTAAGCGTAAACCTAGCAAAAGATATGCGTGTTAAAACTAAAACACAGTAGTTTGGATGTAGCCTAAGACAATTAGACCATTAGATCCAAATTTCAAAGGTTTGGGAGAGTCTCAACATATCTTTGACCAATGTGGTACTTTTGTGGTTCCCTTTTTTCTTTTTTAAAGCACACTTTTATTTTGAAAATGATTCTGGGACAGCCAGCTTGTTGCTGAAGTAGTTCAGAAAATTGTGTGATATTTCTCCACCCTGAGTCTCCGTCAGTCAGTGTCAGAGTGCTGGACGGCCAATTAAAAATAATGAATCCTCATTCTCTTGTCTATGTCCTTGACCAGAGAGGTCATAGGCTCCGTTCCCCGCTTTGATGAGACGTCACCGGTCACTGACTCTCTGCGAGAGTCTTCGTACATCCGGTACGACCCATGTGCCGTGACCTCTCCCTGTGCTATCACTCGGAAGGAAGTCCGCCTGTCTGCCATTTTGACAGGCCGCTTAACTTCACGCCTAATTCTTTTTCATTAAGAGAAATATCTCGCTTCGCCCTGCTGATCACACCTCCTGAGATGGACTCACACACACACACACACACAATCATACGAATGCAGTTGAGCGTCTTGATGAACAAAGGTGGAAGGAGCGGGTTTACAGTTTCTAACTCTCCGCTGAGCATTAGTTCTAGTACTTGTGGAGTTAATCAGAGAGCTGCATGCCACAGCTTGTATTCTCTTCATTGAGTCAATGTGACAGCAGTCGTTACTTGGTGTAATGTCTGACCTGGTCTGGCCCAGGTGTGATATTTGTTTGGACAGGAAGAGGAAACGGTGTCACGTTGTTTAAAGCCCGCCAGCTTTTCACGTCTGTCTTGTAAAATCTGTGTTTTTGGAGATGCTGTTTTTTTTACGTACAGGACAGCGGGGGTCTACTTTGCGCGAGGACTTTTGAGGGGTAGCTGAAACGAGCGTCACCGTTCCATCAGATCAGTAGAACCAGGTTAGAAAGCCCCTTTTCAATTGACGCCTTGACGACAAGACTGCCTTTCCCTGATAACTCTCACAAGCGTTTTTGGGATTGATCTACTTGGCGGTGCTTTGCACACGCTTTCATCTTTTTTTTTAACAGACCACACACCCAATTACATAAAAGGCCCAGTAAAGAAAAATAAATCTCAAATGACATTTGCTAATAAATTAGCTCAGCGAACTGCAATCATGTGGTCGTATGTTTTTTTGTTTTTTTTCTTTTTTAAGTTTGCTCAGTCAGACCGAACTTTAACAGTGATATGTGGAAGGTAATTTGGATTTGTGGGTAGGACACTTTCCCACTGTGTGGTCTCCGAGGACAGAGTGAGGGAGGGGGTGGATTGGCCATGCTTGGATAATCTAAGCCGCTCCTTTTTTTTTTTTTTTGGGTAGAAGAAAAGGGGATAGAGGGGACTTTAATCTATCCCTGAAACAATACATTCTCAGCATCTCCATTTCCGACTAAGCAAAAGAAGCACATGGCGCCTACATTTGAGGGCTCCGTTCGCCCTGTCACCCACCTCTCCATCATTGTTCACTAACCTTTTCCTTTGCATCTGATCGCACTGGAAATAGTTGCAATTAGTTAAATCTCCCCTGTCCGAGTCAGTCAAGTCAGGACCCGGGTGCTCGGGGCCCCGGTGGCGGCAGTCTAGCGCCTCGCGGCTGCCAAGAGATGTGCCCGACTGATTTCGGCGCTCCCCCGCCGGCTGGTTAATTGGATCTTCACACACTGGGCACTTTTGCGGAGGAAGTGGCTGGCTGGCACACGGTCTCATAGTAATCAAACATGTCAGAGAGATTAGACCCAATGCCTTGTCTCACCTACTCCCCCGATGGTGTCAAGCCTCAGCTAGCTATAGCGTTGTGGATGGTCTGACGATGCTTTGCACTGCGAGGTGTACAAGATGAAGGGGAGATAAAAGTATGCAGAGAAAGAGATTCACCAAAACAGCTTTCACTGTTGCATTTGAAAGATTGGGTTTAAATGTGCCAATAAAAGACGGAATTATGTTTTCGCTGGAAAACCCACAGTTGGTAGTGGCATGACATGTGGCTCTGGTCACTTTTCCGCCGAGCTCAACCAGCAGAGGACTTGCTCTCAACATACGCGGTTAAATCCGACCTCACGCAGAGATTGTGAACCCGTCACGGCAAGACGGGCAAAAAGCTGAAACACAGCTTGAAGCTATTAGCAGAAGAATAGCTTTTTAAAGCACACGGCGGTGTTCAGCATAGTACAGTACGGAGAGCTCTCTCTCCACTCTGTCACTTCGTCAGGGCCGAACCTCCCCAGCAGTCCACAGTCCTGTGAAAGATTAACACACAAGCTAACCTGGTACATTTCAATCAGTCAAGAAACTTAAAAGACAAAGTGGGTAAATACTGTTCCCTGTGATCTAAAGGGTTCTGTTGTCATAAACTGCTCGAAAGGGTAAAGTATTGGAAAAGGAACATGCCTTGTACAGATGTGTTTGCTGCAAGAGGTTGTACAGATGTGCATTGCACTCCTATCCGTACCGGGCATGTTGACGTGTTTACTTATGCAGCTAAAAAAGTCACTCATGCGCAATGAGTGTTTCAGACTTGTGTGGAATGGTGATTGTCGTCAAAATAAATGTCTTTTTGCCATTTATGTTCAGATGTATTGCACTGCTGGGTGATTTGTCTTATTTAGTGATTTAGTTTTACAGCTGCTGCTCTGCTTTCTTGTAGGAATAGTAATTTCATAGGCTCCAGAACTAATTAGATGAAAAATTACAAAAAAAACTTTTATTTCACCTAAAAACGTGCAGTGTAACATTTTTGCAAACTAAGTATTGTTATGACGACGTCCTTCAGGTCGACGTTGATGGGCGCGGGAACGAGCGGCGGCGGCGGCGTTGCGGCGGCCAACCCCTGGCTGGTCAACGAATCAGAGGAGACCAGAGGGCTGACCTTTGGAGAGATCAAACAGCAGCAACAACGAATCATCGAAGGTAATAAGCAGCAAATGGACTGCGCTTGTTTAACGCTCTTCTACTTCTAAAAGCCAGAATAAAGCTCCACAGCGTGATCAAGCAACCGCGGTGTCAAGTACGCCGTTTCGTTTCTTTTCAATTTAGTTGGCATCAAGACCAAATATGCACATTGCAACCGTCCAGCATTAACAATTTCCTGCATCACTAGGATAATAATTGTAACTCATACCTGCCCTTATTTATACCTCTCTAACAAGAATGCATTATGAACATATGAAACATCTCTTTTAATGTGTGTGTGAAAATATTATATTCCAAATATTGCACAAAGGCATTTGAGAGATAACAAGAGTATTTTACGTCGTAATATGCATTAAACTAGTACTGGCTCTGCTGGTGTATGCTAACATATAAAAAGATGATCATAATAATTCCCCTCTAGAAGACATATTGAAAGCTTTTCCCCGGTTTTCCCGAATGGCTCCGACTTGACATCAGTTCCCCTGACTCCGAGTGACACTTAATTGCTGCGTCTCCATCGCGGCTCTGGTTCTTGTCAATGTGGGATCACAGATTCCTCTTAAGACGGTGAGAACCGAACCACATGGAGGTTGTTCTGGTCCCCTGTGGGGATTTCTGGTGGAGCTGGGTAATGGCGAGCGCCTGAACCTGTGGTCATAAAAAAAATATCCCAGTGGAGGAGAGCTTGTCAAACTCGGAAACCTTGCGGAGGCCAGGACCTTTCTTTGAAACAGTGAAGCTTTCGGCTTCACTGTTTTTGCTCTCCACCGTGGCCCGCCGCAGTTATAATAACAGGAGCAGGGCTGAGTGGGGTAAAGTGCTGACTGACTCGCATGAGGCACTGTGAGCTGAGCTGGACCCCGACAGCCTGTCATTCCTCTTTCCCAAATAGTTGCCTCATCATATCACAAGTGTAGTATGCTGTTATTATATTGCTCCCTTCTGTCAATTTGCTTTTTGAAACGTTTACTTTACCGTCTGTCCGACCCCACCGCTAAATTTGACGTCGCATTGATTTAATTTGTCCTCCGAGTCTTTTTCTCTTCTCTCCTGCTTGCTCCTCTTTCTTCGTCTTTTGCTCAAGTGTGTTACAAAGTTTGTATTTTCTGTCCATTTCTCTTCACAGTCCAGGACGAGGGCTTGGATGCGCTAGCAGCCGTCATCAGCAGACAGAAGATCATGGGCCAGGAGATTGGCAATGAGCTGGAAGAACAGAATGGTAAAGTTTAACTTGCACGTGCGTCTGTACAAATTCGTCCCAAAAAACTCAAATTCCATACACATTACACACCGCTGTGTGAATCAGACATACTTGTTCTGCGACGGAATGACTCGCCTCATGTAACTTGCTGGACGGTGATACTCCCTCACACCACCGCAACACGGACATAGTTGGAACCAAGCGCGCGCACACAGGCCCTTACACTTCCATTGTCAGAGCAACTGACCTCACATTCAGGTCAAGACCGTTGTCGTATATGTCCCACAGCGAATCTCCATTTTTGCTTAAAATGCATTAAAAAAGTGTTCTGGAATCAGATCTGCTCAGAGATAATGGTGCTTTTGAGTTATTTCTGGCTAAATGCTTCTCTTCTGTCCATAAATAGCTTCCATCACAAGTAGAACGCGCCACACATTAACGGAGTGCATTTCCCCAGACTGCTTCTTTTTTTTTTTTTTTTGTACGCTCACACAGGCGGCACACGAGACGTAAGACTTTTGGGACGATCATCTGTCAACCGGTGAACAATTAGATCTTTTAATGCATCTCGCTCTCAGAAGACTACACCAGTTGATAGGCCGAGGCCCGCGAGTGTTGCCTTACAAAGAGGATGCACACATGTATTCCTGTCGTTTAAAAAAAAAAAAAAATGTAATCTCTAATGTTTATAACAGCGAGCCCGAAAAGTGCATCGTGACAATCGGGGTAAGGAACTTCACAGATCCAAAACTGCAGGTCGATAAAAGGAGAGGAGAGTGGATGAATTAGCCCACAGCAGTAATAAAGTAGTGGTGAGGCCGAGTGGCACTGTGGATGGGGGGGGGGGCTGGTGTCTTTAGAGGGAACTCTAGACTTGATATTTCTCTATCGGCCTCAGGGCTTCAGTAATTAGTAGACTATGCCTCTATTATAGGAAGACATCTCAACAGAGGGATTGTTAGGCTTTATAAAACACATTCTAAGAGTATCCTGACAAGCAGTTGTCTCACACACCTACAGCACAGCCAGTTATTGTCTTTTTCTACCCAGCTTCCCAGAAGAAGAAAGAAGGCGTTGCACTGTCCTGTAATAGCCTGTCTGAGCAGTTGTACCCAAACAAGCCCACGAGGTTGTACAACCGATTGATCTCGGCATGGAAACAAACGACCAGCCCTTGTGTGCTGGGAAGGAATGGCAGATGTTTCTGTCGACGAGAAAGAAAGAAAGGGAGGGCGGATTGTTTTAGCCCCGCTCTCCCGTTACCGTATCGAACTAGACACGGATCGCTGCTCTGACGCCCCGACCGGTGTGTTTTTCTTCTCGTTCTTTCAGCTTGATGTCAGTGTTTCCAATAGTTTGAACCTGAACGGGCGATGGGAAGAGCCATAACTGGGAATTCCACCAGTTCCACGGCAAGTAAGCGAGGGAAGGCAAATAGCGGTGGCCCTGGAAACAATGGCTGCTCCCGTGTTTAGAGCCCACATGACTCTTCAATATAAATTTGACGGGAACTCAACTCTTCTGTAATGGCCCAAAACACCTAAGCCACCTGTGGGTATTGTAATCGGCTCCATTTGGTGAAATCCAAACCGTACAAATTTGGAGAAGCCCTCACTAAAAAAGGAAAACCTATCTTAGTGTTTTGCTATTATGATAAATCCATACTATATATATATACACTGCCTTTTGTTTATTACAAAAAACATTTGTGGGGCATGCAGTGTAACCGGTCCCTGTGTTCACGCAGACTGTTGATAAAGTGTCGACATAGAGTTTCCTTACGGTCGGTCCACAATTTATGGCCAAACTTCAGGATCATAAGGCCTTCTGACACCAGGCAATGACTCACAGGGCCGTCAAGGCTCTGGCCTTCCACTTCTTTCCTTTTGGGGGACCTTTGCTGCCCCTCCATCTCTCATCTCACTCCCTGTTCTCCCTCACCCCTTTTCAACAGTCCTTTATTTTATACAGCTCTTTCCCGTTTCTTCCATCTCTGTGTCTCTTCTGCATCCTCCCCTGCTGAGTTATGGGAGACGTCTTAGTTCCTTAGTGATTCTCAGGATGGAGAGTGATATATCGCACATGTCGATGTGGAGCTAGTTGACCGCTGGTGTAGTCCCCGCGTTCCTTAAGCCTGATTTAGGGTTCTTCGGAGTAACTCACAAGTTTTGAGAAAGGAGTGCGACTAGCTTTGGACACACTTCAAAATACGCTTATGTATTTGTTCCTGTGATTCCAAGAAGTCTTTCCTGACAAACTGAAAAGCCTGCCAGAAGGCTGCACCCATGTGTAAGTAACGTTTCCTTTTTTTTAACTCCGTTAGTGTTTAACTCTGCATGTTGTCAGTCAGAACAGTGTGATCTGCCCCTCAACCAAATAAGAAAAACGGCAAACTAGAAACCAAAATGTCCAATTATTTTTTCAACCTTATAGAAAAGGAGCGCTCTTCAAACCACGCCCACCTGAGGAAAAAATGATCGGTGCCACAAAATGCAACTAAGGGCTGAAACACGTCCGTAGCTAGCTAAAAACATCAGAATTTAGCATGTCAAAGGATATTTTAGCACACTATGTCTACCAGGGATGCAGTCTGTAACTAGCATGGTGATGGACAAGTTAGCTACATGTTAGCAAGTTACTGCAGACACAATCGTGCATAGCTTTCTGATGGATCCACATTCCACTATAGCACAAGTGTCATACTGTCCAAATGCTTTAGCTTAAAGTACAGGAATAAAGTTAGCCTAAAACTGACATTTGGACCGAATGCTTTCCCCCCCTCAATCTTCCTCAGTTCCTCAACTTTTTCACCACACAGCAGATTTTAGGCATTTTTGTGTTTGCCAGCAGGTAAAAGTGACAAGGAGGCTTCACACAATACAAAGTTAACGGTGAGCGGTGGATTGTTTTCCCCTCTGGTGTTGGCGGGACTTAAATGTGCTCTGTCTCTATTCCTACTGGGCATACTAAGTTACTGTGTAGTAGCACTGTTGCTATAGCAGTTGTATTTATTACATATAATTCAAGTATAAAGAGAGTGCTGTGACTTCTCCGTTGTATGCCTTCAGGCCATAAAGCCGCAGCACTCGCTCCAGCTCTCTCCGGTAGTTAATCCAGTATGTGAGGAACGTGGCTTTTGTATTCTTAAGTTTTTATACCCTTGTTATTACAGCATTACCTCTGCATAGATTCAAACTATGTTTAAAGTGCGGTCTGTCCCAAGTACGGTTTTTCCTAATGTGAGACATTGAATCTCAATCAATTCACGTTTTCTGCATTCAACAAAAATCTAAATCGTTCTTCTAGACGTGTGCTGAAATGAGTTGTTAATATTATTGCACGAGACAGCTTTTGTAGGTGCTGCATTTCTTACTCGTATTAAATGTCAAAATGGTTAATGTAAAAAGTAATGGGATAGTTTAATGTTTTCGGAGAGGCAGGGGAAATAGATTTAAGTTATAAAGCAGGGGAATGGCACGGCTCCTTGTTGATCTTGACAGTTGGCGCGTAACCTTGGCGTCCGACCGTCTTTCTGTCTCGCAGGGTTCCTTTCCCCCCCTGATCACTGTACTGTAGCAGTGTTTTCCTATAAATAGATTAAGCTCTTTGTAGTTTGGCTCCTCAGGTTTAGCTCATGACCCAAGTGCAGTGGAGGTTGCAGTCATTTCCTTTTTCGGGAAACGAATCCGGCCGAGGTCGGCGAGGAAGATGACCCTTTTCAGAGGTTTAGTGATGAACCCAAAGCCCCCAGTTTCTCCCCGTCTCAGTCTCAACTGGGTCAGAATGGACTGAGATGTAGAAACGAGTAAGCAGACCGATTACCTCCATCTCGGTCTGCTTTATGGCTCATAACATGAATCCACTGCATGCTGAAGATTTTTCCAATTCGACTCGCCAGTCATAACAACAAGAGAAATTCAATCACGATTGTTAGTGTGTTTAAAAAAAATGAGTTAAATGATGTGCTGTCGTCCAGTTTCTTTAGTTTTTTTTATCTTCATATTTTTAACATGATGTTACCAAACACAGTATATTTTCATTTCCAAATTTAATGTTGCAGAAAATAGTCCGCCGCATGTACCAGCTGCTTGCCTCAGCAGTAGTCTCCCTTCACACCCGGGAAAGATCAACATCAGTTTCACTTTACTGGTGTTGATATTGCTCAGATTGTGGCCTGGAACAATGACATCAGTCCACGTCGGCGTCTTATGTCTTTTAAGTGATAGACAGTGGGCAGCTTGTTAAAAGTAGCGGTTTTTGGCTGGAGTTCGAGGCAGTCAGAAGTTTAGAGGCTTCTTCTTGATTGGATCTGCGACACATTCCATGTAGTGTAAAATCTCCCGTCTACAGTATCCGTCTTCACGGTTCCATCAAAATCAGGCGTCACTCTTTATAGACTTACTAGACCAATCGAATGAATGGATGACGAGTTCATCTCTTTTCCACCGCCTCTCTGCGTGTCTGAAGTTCAACAGGAGTTTCCAGCTAAATTGAATCTGCTTCTCAGAGCTCGACACACACGAAGCACTCCAACGAATCAAGTCACTGCCATTTTATTCCGTGTGTTTGTCTCCACATCCAGAACTAATTCTGAAAAGACCTCAAGACCCCTGACAGCTCTAGCAGATGTGTTCTAACATCAACTATCACACCTGATTCAGACTGCTTGGTATTGCTCCTCCTATCTATACTGAGGACCCAGTAATAAACACAAAGTGTTCAGTGTATCCGGTGCTGGTGACAAACAGACCCTCATTTGGATTGAGACCTTCTGGAACACATTGTAGATGGATGCGGGAGATGTTTTTCTCCTCAGCACTGCAACAGGCCTGACCACATGTGCACTCTTTGTTTTGTCTGACTCTTGGAGAAAAGAAGAAGTGGATGTCTTTTTATTTATTTTTTTTGCACGACACAGTAGCAGCCTGGACCAAAAGGTTGAATCCTGTGTGGTCTCGTAACAAGCCTTTGCTTATTTAACAACTTTACCTTTCACGATTATGCAGAGGGATTTAGCG